ATAAATAAATGTTGGTTGCTTCGATGACACTGTCCAACCATCTCATCCTCTGTTGTCCCCTTCTCCTCCTGCCTTCACACTTTCCCAAGGTCTTTTCCAAGGAGTCTTCTCTTCTCATGAGATGGCCAAACTATTGGAGCCTCAGCTTATCACCTTTTAATTTTATTAGAATGCTGAAACCCTTCAGTTAGAGCTTGACAAAAACAATGGCTGAGGGATTATACTGTATGTTGAGAATCAAAAACAGTAGATCTCTGGGCATAAATCCAGTATCTCCCAAACTGTGGATGGGCAGACATCAGGTGTTCATTATCACCTTTTAATTTTATTAGAATGCTGAAACCCTTCAGTTAGAGCTTGACAAAAACAATGGCTGAGGGATTATACTGTATGTTGAGAATCAAAAACAGTAGATCTCTGGGCATAAATGGTCAGCCCAGGGATCTGGACCAGAACCAAATTCACATTTTTTTCCTCCAGATTCTATGTTGAATACACCATAGAATCTGTTCTTTAGAGCCAAGCCCTTCAGGATTCTCACATCCGCTCAGATCAACAAGACAGAGACTCAATACACGTAGATTTACTGTGTGCATTTCTTAAACCTGGAATACCCAGTTAAAGGGGGGAAAGAAATCAGTTAAAGTGGCAAAATGAATATACAAAAATAACCCACTGCAAGACAGATTTAAAAGAGAAAATGACAAAACACCAGTGGTCATCATCTCCCATCTCCCAAATGAGTCAGAATCACTAGTGAACTGCAGCCCTTTCTGGACATTACTCTTTTCTTCTCAAAGGCCCTGGAGATTGGCCTTTTTTTGCTGCAGATGCTTACAGCCAGTCCCCAAACTGTTGGTGCGCAACAGGTCATATAACATGCAGACATGGAAACAGCAACAAGACCCTGTTATATACCTAGATGTCAACTCTGTCCCCATATCTACTTTAGCAGCATCCTAATAAAAATGCCACCCACAACATCAGCGGATCATTGACTTGTTCATCTGCTGATGTCCTCTATCTCATCTTTTAGCCATTTAAGTTCTTTTCGTTGATATAACTCTTATCTCAGCATAGCATCCTGAAAACAGCTTAATCTGCATTTCAAAGACAGCAACCTATCATTGGTACAACTGACAGACAAGCTGATCACTTATTAACACAATGTCTGTGTAATCAGTACTTCATTCATTACTTGTGCTAACAATGTCACTATCACTCTGAAAGTCAATTTCCAATGTAATTGCTACCTCCCCCCCCCATCTTCCTTGGTCTCCACCCTTCTTTCCTGTACTCTGCAACTCATTTAAAACTTGTGGACTAACTGTGATGATGGTTCATGTGTCTGTGGAAGTGGATTTTAATCCACAAAAGATCTCTGTGCAATAAATCTATTCATCTTTATGGTGCCATAATAATGTTGATTTCATTTTTATTTGATGTCTGTTATAGTAAATCCGAATTTACCTTCTATCAATCCCTGTCTAATCTCAGCTGGCCACTAAGGTGTGATTACCCAGTTCCTTCTATTCTTACTTTGCAAACATGTTTAGACCAACATGGCTTATTCTGTGTTTTTTTTCCTTTTCTGTCCATATAATGTTTATATGACCATCCTTTATGTGCCGTGCTCAGGCAAGTGTTTCCTGTCATGAAGCTATGTATACAGGGATCCCATTTCATATATTGTTGCAAGCTCTGCCACCTCACAAAGGACAAGTGGTGGAATAACTGACATGGGAAGTCTCCTGTCATCAGATACAGATCTGTGTTCATAACTGCTCCAGCATTTTGTGTTAAAGGAACTAATTGTCATCGGTGAAATCAGTGGCAATATGTCCTAATCAGGACCCTGTAGCTATTTCTCTCTATGGAAACAGGAAATAACTAAGATGTGACTCATGAGAAAAAGGGATGGAATACTGGTAGTATACAGTGTGGTGAGATTACAGTTCAGAGGAAGCTTTGATCTCTATCAGAGGCGTGTGGCAAAAGGCTGCTGTCTATTCTAAATTCAAACTTCAGTGGTTTCCACTTGCTCCTACAGTTGGATGAGCACATCAAAGGCACGTTGTCAGATCCGTTCATTATACTAGTTTGGAAGGAGTGAATTAATAAGGACTCAGCTTTTTAAAATTGACCAAGACTGGGTCTTTCGCAGTCCATTGAGGGATGTCCACTTATAACCAGGTGTCCAAGTCAGGAAATGAGCTATTACAACTATTTTTGTTTATACAGATTTCCACTAATTAACATATTTCACAGATAGTGCTTATCTTTTCTCTTACCAGTTTTAGGACCTTCAAATCATGGCATGTTATACGTATTGGAATAAAATAAGGGAAAGGAACTCCTTCATTATATTCATTGCTCTGACACTTGTAACATCAAGTGGCTAGTGGAAGTTAGGAGGAGAAATACTAGAGCCATGGTTTCTCTGCATATAGTTTACTCCTGAGTCGGTAACAACTTTAAACAAAGAATTGGGCTCTGCAGAAGGTTGCTTGTTTCTAAGCCCTTTCTTTTCTGTTGAACCTCAGCTATTTCCCCACCCCACCCCCACCCTTGTCTGTGTTCTTCTAAGTCTCCTGGACTTTCCTGTT